CCAGATATGCACAACTCCAATATATCCAAGATACTTGGAGCCAGATGGAAGGCTATGTCTAACGCTGAGAAGCAGCCATATTACGAAGAACAATCTAGATTGTCTAAATTGCACATGGAAAAGCATCCTGACTACAGGTAATTTGAAACTTATGCTAGGCGAGGACGATGAAAAAATTTACATATTTAATTATTTGTAATTAATAATATCATTATTCAAAGCGATTTAATTTATAGACTGTAAAATCAAATATTTTTTTTTCCTAGGTATCGGCCAAGACCGAAAAGAACTTGTATAGTCGATGGCAAGAAGATGAGAATATCGGAGTACAAGAACCTGATGCGCACGCGCCGACAGGAGATGCGACAGCTGTGGTGCCGGGACGGCGGCAGCGAGCTGGGCTTTTTGCCCACTCTCCCCTCGCCCGGACCATCCAACACCTCCCCGCCCCCCAACGGAGGGAACTACATGAATCCCGCGTTTTCTCCCCCGCTATCGCCGAGAGAGGAAGATTGAGGTACGGCGCGCGGCTGGCCTTACCCGCACGCCGCGCCCCTCCCTCTGCCTCCCTCGCACCACCCCTGGTAACGTGAGAACCGAGAGAAGATTTAGACTTGAATCTCACTGATCATTTCGTTCTAGTTCTCTCCTCACTTTTTAAGTATAATTAGATCGAATGTGATCATTGTAACTGTGCTAGAATTATCTATTTAAGTACCTACCTTAGGTATCCTTCATCAGTATAGGTTGTCTTTAATGCCAGTGTTGCAATCGGATCTCTCTTTTATACAAATATCTAATTATTATGAGATTATTCCATTAGTGGTTTAAGAAAATCCTAGGGGCACTTTATCCTTGTAATCGTTTTAAAATATTTATATCGGCGCTCCATTGTCTCTATTCCTTGAATCAGCACTCAAATAAAGCGAAATGTGCCAATTACGTAGGATAATAAACCAGCAATTAGAGAATTAGAAAAAAACATTGTAAATAAACATAAATTAAGTCAGTCGTTTTATCGTAACATGTAAATTAAGTCTGTATCGCGATAAACGTCTTTATGTCTTTGTAAATAAGCACGATTCTTGTAGATAGTTTTTAGGTATTTCAATATTTTACATTCAAAATACATTTACATAATAAATAATATATAAGAGGTAGTATCTTGACATAACGTACTATCGTGTGGCCATGTATAAATTTTAATTAAACCCTAATCTACCTATATATGTAATATTTAGAATCTCTAGTAATAATATTAAAATGTATCAAACCAAAAATTTGAAGCGGAATGCTTGAAAATTTATGTGTTTAGAACACAAACTGATTTAATATATCCAGTGAGGAACGTTACATAATAAAAATAAATACTCAAACTTCACTAAATGCTACATTAAGTCATTTGTATCAGAATTTAATTTGATAATATTGGAATTAAGTATACAACTTAATTAAAAATATATGATAAAATTAGCACGAAATTATATAATCTGTAATCATAAATGCAGTGTTGCCAACTGGTAGTCAATACGATTGTCAATTTGATTAAAAAAAAATCAAATACATTTCCATCGATTTTTTAAAAACCCGACGTAAATGTAGGTTTATCAATACACAATCAAAATCGCTTTATCGAATCGTGCAATTTAAATTAGTAGAAATAGTCGCTAAGCTATAGTAGAAATGAGCATAATAAAGTAGGTACATTATAGTAGATTGGTAGGAAACAAATGTGTACCGATAATGTAGAATGGGACAAGTTTGATTGATGTTGATTGCCATTTAGTTTTGTTATTTATTTTTGTAATTATATTTCTTTTTTTTTGTTTTCTTTTTGTGATGGTGAACACGCCAGTTCGTTTATGAGAATTGTTTTTACAGTATGTTATAAAACCGATTTTAGTGCCTGATACTTTGTACATGGCAACATATTTTGAAACAAACGTATAGACCGACCAAGTTATCTTTGACAGGAGTGGTGGCGCCAAAACATCGAGATGATTGGTTGATAGTCGCTTGACATTTAAGCGCCATATCCACTTAGGCGCTACACGCGCGATTTTGAACACCAGTGAAAGTAATTTTAAGCTACTTGGATAATTTGGTCAGTTTGTAACGGTCTAGTTTTGTTGAGTTGACTCTATGGTGTGGTCACCTTGTTATTGTATGCCAGTAATATATCAGATATGAGGAATAATGTTTAGAATTGTAAGCGTAAATAAATTATTGTGTACGTGAAATTTAATCTCTTATTACGTAGTGTTTAGTATTACATAGTTAATGTGTAAGGTTTTAAAACAGTGGCGTTAAATTATTTATTTTTTATGTTGAATCCAATTGTAAATATGCGACATTTCGATGTAAAAGTTAGTATTTGTGGTTATTTAAATGATCGATACTTAATCCGTATGCGAATCGCACAGATCTCGTTCGAAAACAAACTTATTATTTATTTAGCCGTCATCATAACGGGACATTTTTTAATCTGTAAAAAGTATATACCTTGCCATATCTTTTATAAATGCGATTGCCTACTACCATAATACACACACTACAATTTTTTTTCGCATGTACTTAAAATTATATCTTGTTAGTTTATTGGTTTTTACCAGTTTTTAAACAATTGAGATTATTTTGTTGAATTTTTCCGTATAGCTCTGCGAGCATTTAAGTAGATAAATTTTAGGTTTTATTACCTAGCAGGTATAAACCAGGTCACATTATTCATAAATTGTGCCAAAACCCAAAAGTTTAATAAAAAGTAAATATTTAAAACGACTGTTTTTCATTTTTCATCCCAAATAATCAAATCCTTACCAGAGAAAAGTATATTTTGCAAACCCATTTTTCGACTAAAAAGGACTTACTGTTCTTCTTAAAAAAGTCGCGCGGCCAGAAAAGCTAGTGGAAAGGGGACCTTACTCACATATGTTAAATGATATTTTTATTATAATAATATGATTAATAATACATTTGTATTAGAAACAATAATTACGATATAATAATTTCATTACAAAGTGATATGACTACATTTTGTTCATTACACACAACAACAGTCGAAACTGGAGCGAGAACTAAACTTCCATAACACATTGACCGCCTTGTCAGTCACCCGTGACTGACACTGGAATATTCCAATGAGGCTATGTCAGTCACATATGACTGACATATAAAAACTCCACATATTTTCCCACCAAAATGCATCAAAGTAAATTAAAAATAATCTTATTTATGTAATATAATTTAAAAACAAATTTTTTAAAATCAGCAAGATTATTTGTCCCCAACGGACAACCTCTATGAGCGAGAAAAAATATCGCGATTGCTTTGACTCTCGCTTATCCAGTTTCGACTATGTGACTAATTTGTACAAATTGCTAAATTCAAATACAATTTTCCTAAGTACACATAAAACAAAATACATTTTAAGCACATTAAAAAGCTGATTAACAAGATTATTAACGTATAGATAACAGTAACAACTAAATTAAAATGAAGGCACTTTGAAACAATTGTATAAAAATAAGTAATTACTAAATAAAAAATCATTACAACTATAAACAACTAAGTTAATTTAATTTAAAACAAATAAACCCGACTGACTCTAAACCTATGACACTAAATGTGTCAATCACAATGAAAGTGTGTCATAAAAGATGAATCAATTGACATCTTGACCTTGAATCAATTTAAGCTATATAAATTAATGGTATAGACATTTTTATCCATATTAATATTACAAAGAGGAAAGATTTGATTGTTTGTTTGTATTTAATAGAATCCGAAACTACTGAACCGATTTGAAATTTTTTTACACTATTAACAAGCTACACTATCCCCAGATGACGTGGGCTTTACTTTTTTTAATTAGGCTAGATTTTATTTAATACCGCACGCACAAAGTCGCGGGCAACTGCTATATCTTACTAATATTAAAAATTCAAATGTTTTGATGCATGGATGTTTGTTAGATTGCATCTCCAGAACGGCTCAATGGATCTTGATGAAATTTGGCATAGATGTAGAACGTAGCTTACAATAACACATAGCCTACTAATTAAGTTTTTTTTTAATTCCGAGCGGACGAAGTCGCGGACGACAGCTAGTACTATATACATGCGAAAAATCCCTACTGTCAGTCGGGCATAAATAATACTCCAAGCAGACAAATGTGCCTTCATTTAAAAATCAACATTTATTCGAGTTATTTCCACTATATATTTTAAATTAATCGCCTTAACGGATACGCTGGTTATAAGCTATACAATTCCTAATATATGGGATTTATAGTTTAACCAGGAATATAAGAAACGTAATCTTATTTAGGAAAATATAGTACTTAATTCCTTTGCATACTAAAAAGTGATTTAATGAAGGCGATTGAAGCGCCCTCGAGCCAGGTTCTTTATATTCTTGGTAAGACTAAACTAAAATCATTTTTTTTTGTAAGAACTTTTGTCAGCATGACGATTTAAGATTTTATATTATACAATTACCATATACAAATACTGTATACTTAGTTTTAAAAATAATTTAAAACACAGTGATAACTATGAGTACACGACTAATATATAGTTTCAAATTACATAAATTCTATTTGTTCAAAAAAAACATTAAACGTCAAATCTTAACCAATCAATAAATAAATTAATTAAAACGACATAAACAACAAACTTATCTGACGGACATAAATGAAAATAATTTTTGGTCCGTTCACAAAGACCAGGGGCGAAGAGAAAATTAAGCTTTATTTGATTGAGAATAGGGTTAATTTTACTTTGCAAATTTTTTCCTATGAAAAGCAAGCGTAAAAAAGACGTGAAAAGTATAATTAAATCTTGTTTCAATCTTATAAAACTCAATTTTATTTGCGATAAAAAACCTGATCTCCAACCCGGTCTGTGTAAACGGACCCTTACTATATAGCACACTAGCGCCCCTCTGTCAATATCAAAAAAGTGTCACAAGATTCTTGTTATATAAATATGTCATATCTTGTATTTCCTATGTCTATGTAGGATTTACATATTTTCTGACAGAACTAAGCGCAATTACAACATCTCATCGGACCAGACAAGACCAGACAAGTTTGTAGTACTAAGTTACACGGCAAGGTTTAGTTTTTAATGAGAACAAGACGGGCATAATTTAATTTTATTTAAATCTAAACAAGCCCCGTGGAAATTATGACCACATTTAAAAGTCCATAGACCACCATCTTTGATTAAAACCTCATTTTGTAACGGTAGGCCGCAGAGAGAACAATCACTTACCCCTTTGAATAATTCAATCATGTTTATTAAAATTTCTTGTAGAGTTACTTTATTTTTTGACTTTTTAATAGATAGTAATCTGTCTCGTAATGGTTTCAGTCCCCAATGATCTGACATAGCTGCGACTGTCAGAGGTAACGCTGTATTCTTGATTTGACCATTTTTTGTACATTTAAGCAGCTGACATATCTGAAAAGTCATAAAATAACTATCTTACATACACATTAGCTCACTCTGTTTTACATAACTCAAACATTAACTACCCATCTTACTAATATTATAAATGTGAAAGCTTAGATGGATGGATGTTTGTTAGAAGGTATCTCCGGAACAACTTAACAGATCTTGATGAAATTTGGCACAGACGTAGAACACAGTTTGGAAGAACACATAGGCTACTAATTAAGTTTTTTTTCAATTCCACGAGGATGGAGTCGCGGGCGACAGTTAGTATATCAATATGTTTTAATTAAAATATAATATATTTACCTCAAATCTTGATTCTTCAAATTCATATGAACTGTATATTGTATCAACAAGTTGTGAAATGATGGTGACGTCATACTTTACATATAAACAGGCCAGTAAACAAGAATGATAGAATTTTATGGTCAAAGCGCCCATGTCAATTAAATGTCCATGCTTTTTCATCAATTCAACAGCATTTTTACCTCCAACCGATTTTATTATCAACGAACCCAAATCATCCCAACTTAACATATCTTTAACTGATATGTGATCAAATTTCTTATTACAATTCAAACACATATTTGCATGTAACACCGCATACAATTGTATGGCACGGTCCCATGTATCTAATGTGAACTGCGGCAAGAAAGAATGCAAGAGAGACTCATCCAACATTTGCAGTAATATCCTTAAAACATTCAACAAATCTTCATTCCTACGTAGATATAAAATCTTTCTCCACAAATATGGCATTTTCTTACAAATATCATAACACTGTTCTTTAGTTTGGACCGACCATTGCCTCTCTATAAACTCATCTATCAACTCCGAAAAAATCGGTGTCTCATTACGAGCAAAAGGCAAAGGAAAACCACATTCACAACCAATATTAGACAATTTCCTTGATTTTATATTTATTGATATGCAGGAATCTACAAAGTATTTATATAATACTTCATTGTTTATAATATCATCTAATAAATCGCATTTCTTCGTTGAAATACATAAATATGTTAGAAAAATATTATTAGGAACAAACTTTGATTCATCTAATGCTCCAACAGATATACAGTATCGTTCCAAAGAAAGCATTAGTTCATAGATTTCACTAATATCACAGGAATTATTTTCAATTATAGAGGTTAAATTCGTTTTCTCTATATCCTTATTAACTAAACTTAATCTATGGTATTGATAAAGTGTCCTGCATACTCTATCATTGTCTACATTATTGTCTGTGTCTATGGCTTTTTGACTAGAATCTTTAAAAACAATTTCCTCATCTAACTGTAAATGTACAGTAACTAATTCATCAGGAATCTTCCTCGGAATTATCTCTTGGATATTTTTTATCGGTTCTTGAATTTGCCTTTCGGAATTAAATTGTTTTACCTTTCCTTCTATATCTTCCCATTTATCTTTTAATATCTTTTTGCTAACTGTGAATTTATCAGATACAGCATTACTAAGGCCTTTTAAAGCTAATAATGGGTCAGGTTGCATTGAATATGTGTCATCGTTTATTTCAGATTTTTCATCTAAAGTTGTCTGAGTATGGTATGTGTTGTCAACAACATAAATGCCTGATTTCATTTGAGTTGCTTCATTTAATTTTAAACCATTAAGCTTTTCTAAAATATCATTAATTCTATCCAATAATCCATTACTCTCTAACTTATCTTTCAATCCAACTAAAATATGTAACTTAGGCGATGGAATACTTGTAAGCAAATAATCATGATACAAGGCACATAAATTAGCACAAAGCGTATATTTTTCATCTAAATAACATTGTATTAAAAATTTATCTAGCTTCATAAATCTGGTACAAATCAGAGATCCATTGCTAAGCCAAATGTATAATAAATCATGATATATTTTGCAATCTATAATATCATTATATTTATCAAACCATAAAGTATCATCTACGTTGTGAACATTTAAAAAATATAAAGCTTGTCTATTAAAAGAGAATATGGCATCATTTATAGAGTACAGTTTGGAAAAAATTACAGATTGTCCATTAATATTTTCATCGACACTTTCAACTGGGACATTTTCATTATCAAAAGAATCTGTTGTAACTTTCATAGCTTGTTTAGCTAGTACTTGTTTAAACTGATGGGTTCTTCTAACCATACCATCAACTGTGGCTTCCCATAATCTAGATGAAGGTCTAGCACAATATATGAGGGTATTTGAAAATTGTTCACCAACAGTAAAACCTAGTTCTCCATCAACAATACTATATTTCTTTACTTCAGTGTAATCTTGTTGACTACTCTCTAGTTCCCCGTTGACATTAGCCTTATCTTTTGTCACAAAACAAGCACCAAATTCACCATCTCTAAGTTTTTGTCCAATCTGTCTATATTGTTCTTGAATAATATTACAAATATAGCAACGAGTTAGTGTTGATACAAGTAACATACAATCTTTGGCGTCTAATTGACAAATTCTCGAATCGAGACTCAAAATTATTTGAGATGAGCTTTGAAATATTGTTTTAGTCTGTAATTGAAACATATAAACTTTATTAAAACCTTTAAAGCAATGAAATTCTTAATTACCCCAATGCATTTATCCATACAGTAAAAATGTAATGAGTAAACTAATAGACCGCTTTTCAAAATTCTTTTACCATCAGAAAGCTATGTTATCAAAGAGTTAAAAAATATATAAACACTTTTCTTCCCTTCCGCAAGAACGAAGCCAATAGCTTAATGTTATAATAAATGCAACAACATTTTCCAGCATTATTGTTTAAAATAGCTTTAGATATATCTTGTTACTTTAACAAGGCTATTCTGTACCATAGTTTAAATGAAAAATAAAATACTCACAATGAAACTTTGTAACTGCAACACTGACACTCGTCCAACATCATCACCAGTAAAAAGCATGTTCCCGCTCCAAACCATTGCTGTGATTTCGTTTCCATGGTGATCTTTGGATGATGTGGATGAGTGGCTTCCAGTGAGAGTTTGGTCACAACCGGTGACAGTAACCGTGCCTTTTCCATTGGCAAAACCAATATGTTTTTCATCTGATGAAATTGTCAAACGAGTTATTGGACCATCCTGGAAATTTTAATTATTGAATTAAATACAATGGAATGGAGTAAAAGATCTAACATCAACAAAAGTTACAATAAACATTTTTTAGAAATCATCCTGATAAGAAACAAATTGTGCTTTAGGGTGGTTTAAATTTTAACAGTCATATTGTTTTTAATTTAACAGTGGTAGAGCCCGCTTTAACATCTTTGCACAAATTGGCCCGGTTCGCCCGGTGAAATACCATGACCACACAGAAGACAGGCGTCAAGTGGAAGCTATTCCGCGTTTCGCCTGATGAGTGTGTGTCCCTTTTTCCTTATAAGGAAAGGATGGGAAGTGGAAGTGGACTCTCCGGAAGAGAGGATGCATGGAAAGGGAAGATATTTTCTTTCTGTGCATCCTTTCCTCCGTCGATTAAAGGTTGACAACGCATATGCGGATTGCATATGCAATTGCGTATGTCTATGGGCAACGATCACTTCGCTATTTTAGCGATTTCAGGTGGCCGCTTGCTTGTTTGCCACCTAATGATATAGAAAAATAATGATAGCTCTGAAGTAGAGAAGGCAAAGGGAGTAAAAAAAAAAGTTCAACTTCTGGATGAATATCCAGATCTACACAATGGATTTCATTATATACAGTCAGCTACATAAGTATGTATAGATTTACAAAGCTTTAGAAACTTGTATACACCTTATTTTTAAAATATATTTGCACATATATGTCCTTATGCTTCCAAGTATGAACCTGCTATAATGATGTGACTTAGTATTTTTAGTTTTGTAAATTTTTAAATATTTATGCACGTGACTGTTATGAATGAAGAGTTATAAAAAATGTTGAACTCTGGTAACAAACAAAAATGAATATATTACTATGGCAATTGGTATTAAGAAGGGATACAAGACTTCAAATATATGTTATGATAGTTTTTACAAACCTTATTTGGTATTAGCTGAACAAATTCACATGGGTTTCTATTGTACACATATATACCACCACTGGTTGCACCAAATGCTATCAATGATTTTGATACATCAAAACATGTAAACTGAAAAAAATTGAAACAAACATCTTTAATTCATTAATAAGCTAACTTTGATTTACCATTTGGTTTATGTTAAATTTAATTTTGGCTTTTTAAGAAATGTTTTAAAATATTAATGAAGGGTTATTTTAAGAAACATGCTGTTTCCTGGATTTTTCACTAGTACTGCTTATATGATTTTGGATAGATCAATACAAAATTATTTCAAGAGATGATTTATTTCGAAGGTTCCAAATGGAGGTAGTTAAAATCTACATAAAGAAAAAAGCAAGGGATATGATTAACGTAAAATATATTGGTATTAACATAAACATATATTTCTAGGTTTAACAAATGATTTTTTTCTATTATAAATTTTAAATCAAAATAAGAATACCCAGTCCTGAGACGTGTTTGTGAAAATTTTGATATATTGCCAAAAATTTACTTATAATTACCTACCTTGATTCGATGCACATTTTTTAATGGGTAATTTATTACATCCGTAATATTAGGAAGTTCTTGAAGTACGTAGGGAGGTAATTTACAAGTCATGATTTACTTGCATTTTCTTTTCGAAATTCACATTAACAATATTTTGAGCAAAATAAACATTAAATTATCTCTGTCACTTTTAATTTAATAACCTAAATTTAAATTCATGACAGATTAAAAAGCATAGATTACAGAGAACATCAAAGAGCAAGTTATGAAACATAGACTATATATTGAGAAGGAGAACCACAGACGAAAATAAAATAAAATGTTTTGGGCCTAGCATTAATTTTAGATAAAACACTTAGAAATTGTTTCAATCTCCGGAACGGCTGGATCGATTTTAGCAGGTCTTTGACGAGAAGGTAGCCGACGAACGTGGACATATTGTAGGCTTCTTTTATTCCCACTTCTTTTGGTCCACGAAGTCGAGATTACTAGTTCTATAATAACAACGTTATTGTCCATAATATTAATCACCGGCGGTCAAAGGGTAATACAGGGTTACCCAAACAGTGTTTAACTATAATTTATGGAGTAATACAATTGAAATTCTTAAATGTTTAGAATGTCAGTCGATGAGGGAGATTTTTGTACCTTTGATTGAGTCATAAAAGTAAACAAATTTTTATTTTATACGCTAAGTAATATTTAATAATTATATAATATATATTAAAAATAACTTTTAAATTAAATTTAAGACAAACAAATCAAGCTAATATTGGTATTACAAATCATAAAGCACGATTTTTCATTTAATTTAAACATTAAAATATTTTAAGATCAATTTTAATTGTATCAGAACCGGCCATGTTTTCGGCTAAACATATGTAGGAACCCTCGTGCGTTTTTGATACATTATTTAAAGTAAGATCGTTTACAGAACTTCCCCTGAAAAAAAGATAAAACTGTTATTCACACGTTCTATTGTTTCATTAAAATTTCAGTTAATTGATTGTACTGAGCAAATTAAATCATCATTGTTCACCTTAATAAAGTCGTGAGAGTTGAATTAAGTGCTATAAACTCCCATTTAGTCGAGGGTTCAGGATGACCGTGGTGCACATGACACTGTAACGTGACTGATTCACCTGTTCTGATTGTTATAATTTTACGTGGCGGTGGATCAATGTACGGGGGAACTGGAATAAAAGCATTTAATTATATATTTTTCCTTGGCTTTGTTTATCAATCTACTACATTAACTTAACCTCTGTCGATACGACCGGGTCAAGGACGGTCTGTTATGTGTACGGATCACAATATTTTCCAAGTTTTAAACAATAACTTTTTTAACTGTGTCCGGTTTCTTCAACCACGCTCTTAAGACTTTATTTTTGCTATTTTAAGTGCATATTTTTGGTGTTAACTCACCTAATACATTCAGCGTAACGACGCGTTCTGCTCTTCCTAAATAATTCTCAGCGATGCAATAATAGTTTCCTGAGTCGACAGAAGATGCAGTAAACCTATATGTATATTTTAAATATTAAATTTTTTTTACATTCTTTCAAACTAACATGACCATTCACATTTCACAAGGCCCACTAAAGTTATAGTAAAGAAATAGACGATAGTAACCAGTTTCTTCTCTTAGACTTTGCAAAAGAAATAAAAAAAACTACGTTATATTTTCTTTTACCTAAGCGTGTTCCATTCATCAGTTTCATGTCGACTATCTAGAGGAATGATAATGTCATCTTGTTTCTTTTGCCATCTCACTTCTGCTTTTGGTATAGCATCGACTTCGCAAGACAATTCAACGTCTTCATCTAGTCTCACTATCTTTAATTTGTCATAAAATTTTATTTTCGGTGGATCTATGAAAAATGTAAGAAAATGTTTCTCCTTAGCTTCATTATTCATCCAACGTTTTATCAAACTTGAATTTTTGTCTTTTCTGATATTGCGTGCATTAAAGACACAAACTTTAAAAATATTTAACTTACTAACGTCTGCTGCATGTCTTTCATTGTCTTAACCTTTCAACAAATTAAATATTAAAAAAAGACTCACATTCAACTTTAATTAACAATTCCTTTGAATCTGTTCCAAAAATGTTTTCCGCTTCGCATTTGTAGATACCAATATGTTCCGTCTTGACTGATGGGATTTTGAGATGATTTTCCTCAGCGCTAACTCCTTCGGGAATATCTTCGTAACCGTTATCGGTTTTGAATTTCCAAGTCACCTTTGGGGCTGGTTTACCTTTTTTAATTCTAGAATTGAAATAGGCTTTTTATGAAGAACTTGACTTCTCTATTGTAAAGAAAATCAAATTTTGCAGATAGATTATGTGCAAACTGCTAACAATTTAAATTGACTACCCTTGTGTTTCTAAATTTAAAATCTCTGTATAAAACATATCGTCATCCTTTTCGTTATCTTTGACAACATTGCGATAACAATATGATTTAAACGGGGATTTTGGTTTCAAAAAGCCACGGTAACAAATCTATTTTTGTCGAAAACTAGATATTATTACCTGATTGCGTAATTAAATTGGGTATTGTTACAATCGAATATAATATAAAGAATATTAATTTACTTACGTGCATTCAATATTAACCCAATCGTCTAATCGTAAGACGAGCTCAGAATCGTTTAACTCTATTTCTGGTAATTCTGAAATGATAATTTTTGAAAGAATACTTAATTTAGTAACAATTTAGAAAAAATCAGGATTATAAATATTCCTGGATCAATGTGTTTATGCGATTTGATTCTTCTACTGGAAAGAAAATACTTCAAAAACTAACTAACTAAGATAATGCAGCAACCCGAAGTGGGCCTTAAAGTGGGCTAAATTAAAAAGAAACGATCTGACGTCGTGGATTAATGTACTTGAGTATAGTATTATGGAATGTAAGAAGCCTATATCGACCATGTGCGAGTTACCAGGTAGTCAAAAAGCTAGACAGAACATTAAAAATAGATAAATTAAATTTGCATTTTCTTACCTACTCCTGATATATCTACTATTGCGGTATACCTTTTACTTTGAATATTGTTATTGATTTCACATCTGTATTCTCCTGTCAGTTGCGGAGTCATATATTTTAATAAGAGCATACTTTGGTCAGATAAAATTTCTAAGTTGTCTCCATTTTCAACAAGTGAATCATTATGGTACCATTGTATGGTTGCCTCTGGGTATGCGTCGACTTTACAAGACAGCTGACCCTCTGTGCTGTATTCAAACGTAGCGTCTGAAATTTTACATTTCTTTACTTGTTAAACATGTTTTCTCTGTTTTAAAAACAGAAACGTTAGTTTTTTTTACCTTGTGGATATTCTAAAACTTCAAACATAAGAGTTCTATTCACAAAAAGATCCATAGTCAATGTATCTTCACCTTCCTTGGACTCTGCTTTGCAATGAATCGTGTTGTTTTCGGTTACTTTATCAACGTATGCATAACTTATAAAAACTGATCGTGTTTCGAGTAGAGCATCCTGTAAACAAATGTCTTATCATAACAATTTAATAATTCTTCCAAGTCATATAAGGTCACGGACGCCTTTAATCACTTTTGCAACATTAACCAAATCTTATACTAATATATATGCAAAAGTTTGGATGAATAGATAGAAGTTTGACCACATAACTCCAGAACGGCTGAATGGATTTGGATAAAAATTTTAAAACAAATACGAGTAGATTACATCAAGGAATAGCGCGTAGGAGGCTACTTAGCTTTTTTATAAGATGCGATCGAAATCACAAACTACATTTTGTACTTACTACTAGTTATGAGATATGACTATTTTAGTTTGTAAGTGCCACACAAAAGACAGGTGTGAAGTGGAAGCAATTCCGCGTTTCGTCGGATGTGTGTACGTCCCGGAGGCCTAATTTAGTCCTCTTTCCCTTCCTACCCTTTTTCTTATAAGGAAAGGATAGGAAGTGGAAGTGGACTTTACGGATGAGAGGATGCATGGAAATGTTTTCTATCTGTGCATCCTCTCCTCCGTTGATTAAAGGTAGGCAACGCATATGCGAATGCCTATGTCTATGGGCAACGGCCACTTCGCTATTTCAGGTGGCCGCTCGCTCTTTTACCACCTTATAATATAAAAAATATACTGAAATGTTAGGAGGAATAATAGCTTTTAAAAAATAATAAAATCATTAATGTGGATGACGTATTTACAAGAAACAAATAACTATAGAGATAAAAATAATTGTTAAGAAATAATAATAAAAGCGTTCGATATACAATTTTAATTAATTTACGCAATGCAACTATCCGCCGGCGTGAATTATTTAACTATGTTTCTTTACAGACGATAATAACATTAAAATTTCCTGTCGACAAAACCAGAACCAGCTTTATAGTTATGAAGCTTTAAATAAGATTATTAAAGTGTTTGAGGTTCAAAAGGAATTATAATGTAAGGATGTATCTATGACATGTCAATGGAGATCATTATTTGAGTAAATTTTAGAAATGGGTAACTCAACTGAAATTTATGACCTGCAGATCAGCTCACGGCTCACATGTGTGCACAAATCAATGAACCGACCTACAGTTCAGCTCAATTTGTACCTGGTCACTAGACAATTCGCGGCTTTTCGTCTCTCATAGTTATAGTACTTAGCGATGAGCTGTAAGCTGGGAATTTAGTTGTTGAACCCCAGCTCAACATGAGAGCTGAACTTTGGAACCGGAGCTAATTTACACATGGCTACTATACTTTGAAGTAATGGTATAATAGTAAAGTTTTTTTTGAGTAATTAATTTCATTTATTTAAAAGAAGTTTTCCTTCAAGTCTGATATGAACCAGCAACCTACGGATAGACATCGTTTAACATAGTATGTAAAATTTTTACCTCTGAAGGGAATATGTTCCCAATTTCATCGGACCAAGAGATTGTTGGTTTTGGATATCCGGATGCTTTGCAGGCGAGCGTTATATTAGCCATGTACTCCACTAACGCCTCCTTCGGTTCAATCCATTCTATTTTAGGTCTTTTCACCTGTAGTTCTTGAACTGCAATTAATAACATAAAATTAATAAAGTAAAATGTGAAATAACAAGCTTTTAAATTTGATTTACGGTCAAAGATTGTTAATAAGTTATTACGTTCCAAATGTTACATAGTTCTGTATTTGTTTTACGGAAATGAAGAAATTTTTCAAAATAACTTAAACTCGAAATACATGCTTCAATAAATGGATGAATTTGGTCCGAACGATGGTCCAAGTAATTTTAGCAAACTTACTCATTTTTTGAGGAGTTAGCGTTCCCGTCGACCCTTTGATGACTTGATAAGATTCATCGTGGCCGTAAATCTAAAAAACAACAATCGAAATATATGACAATTCATAACTCAAGCTGATTTTTATTCCTATTGTAATAAATGGGAAGAGGTTTATTGATGAGGTCATCGACCTATCTGGATCCAATCTGTTCTATTTCCCCCATCTGACCTTGCTAAGCTCTATACATAAAAACTTATTCGTTATTGTTTACTGTTCTTCTTACTTGTCTTTTTACTTTCTTTTGTCTAAATTGAAATAGAAACGTCTTAAAGTAATTTAATATGTATCTTAACTTAACTGTAATTTTAAACGATGTATCTGGTTCGAAGTATTCCTGCGCCGAATATAAACCCAAACTTCTGTCGACAATTTCAACATCAATCTTCTTGACACGGCGGCCATTAAATCTTATATAAATCGAATTCAATTCGATTGATATTTCAGCTATTGCGATGGATATGTAATTGACGGTGCCTGTATATAACAGCACAATTTATTAGTGAAGAAAACGGAAAATATAAAATTAGGAAGCTCAATCTATGGCTGATGAAATGGGGTCCTAGATAAATAATATTAAAAAAAAAAATTGAAAAATTAAAACTGTTTATTACAATTAAATGTTTTTTTACCACTTTTTTCCACTTTTTTGTTAATTAAAACACCTAAGGAGTATTCTATATGTTCTTCCAGTGCATGTTCTATGCCAATTTCATCGAGATCCGTTAAAAGGACAAACTTACATCCAGCTATCCCTTCATCTAAACATTTGCATTTCTAATATTAGTAAAATGCATATATGTACGTACGTTATTATAGATACATATTAATCATCATCATAATTGAACGATTATTGGGATATAAAAATAAAAAAAAATTCATACTCTTACAATCCGGAAATAAGTTGGTCTAAAATAAAACGTGGCAATATCATTCAGTTATCGCTCATGAACAATTTCAACCATTCCATAAATTCCATTTGCAGTTTTAAACGATAAGCGTATCATAAGACGTATTGACGTAATAATAACATTTTTTTTTCTTTTTTTTATATCATAAGGTGGCAAACGAGCGAGCGGCCACCCGAAATCGCTAAAATAGCGAAGTGACCGTTGCCCATAGACATACGCAATTGCATATGCGTTGCTTACCTTTAATCGACGGAGGAGAGAATGCACAGAAAGAAAATATTTTCCCTTCCCATGCGTCCTCTCATCCTGAAAGTCCACTTCCTATCCTTTCCTTATAAGAAAAAGGGTGGGAAGAGAAAAAGGACTAAATTAGGCCTCCGGCACGCATAATACAAGGATTGGAATATTCGGTGTATACAGCTTTAAATTCTGCTATACGCCGATTACTTGAAGTCCTTACACTTCAATACTAATATTACAAATACGATAGTTTAGATGGATGGGAGCACTTATGGTATAGGCAGAAAAGTTGACAATGAAAAACACAGGCTACTATTTTTTTTAATTCGCCTCGGATGGCGTCGTGAGTGACAGCTAGTTTACAATAACTTTTAAAAATTACCTGGTAAAGGTAAATTAGTAGTCTCCTTCAAGCTCCTTGCCAATTTAGGTGAGAAACCTAATCGAAAGTTGACTTCTCTTCTTTTATAAATTGTAACTAATGTTTTGCCTTGACAGAATATTTTCACACTATAAGTTCCAACAGGTGGTGAAATTAATCGTAAAACCTGTATCAAAGATAAAATTTTACATATTAATATTTTCATCAAGAAATTGAGAAAAAAGGACGCGCAATTGTTAAATTATGTGTAACCAATGTTATATAGTATTGTGAGAAGAAATGTCGGTATCCCATTTAACGTTTTGTTTTTAGTATTTAACGTAAGGGATAAAATATTCACTGCGTTTAAATACTTTATGTTTCGACGTAGAATGAACTATAGCTGTGATATTATAAGTTTCTTAAAAGGTACGCGTCCATTGGCCCGCGCCGGACGTACCGCACGCACTGCCCCACACAAATTAAACGCATTTGGCGATGGCATGCGTCCACTGCAATTACAAGTGTTTTCTTGATTTACGTTGACTTGTTTGGTCATGGAGATTAGCGAAGATACTAACTAGTGGCTTTTAAATGATTTGTGTGACGTCACCGGCACGCAACGCATTTTTTGTTCATAAATGCCGGCTTTCGACGCGGCTGGCGCGGATAATGGACGCTGCGCTATATAAAATCATACAATTTAAACTAAAGTCCGTTGCGTGCGGTGCATCACGCGTACCTAAATAGATTTTATTGATTACTATCTTCTAATAAACAAAATATGTTTGAGTATTCTTACTTTATACACATACCTTAGAATGCAACGTGTTGACTATACGATCTATTGCAGGAATTTGGCCATTTTCGTCCAGAATTTCTACATTCGGGTACTCTCCAGTAACTGTTATAACCATGTCTTTTGTGTAACCATCAATTGAAATCTAGAAGATTATAATATCCACATTAGAATTTAAAAAAATAATCGGATCAGAGAATGATATAAATCTTACTTATAAAATACGAATGTTTAGATGGATGGATGTTGCTAGAATATATCTCAGGAATGGCATAGATCTCGCTGAAATTTGGCATATATGTAGAAAGTAGCCTCTAAGAACACATAGGCTACAGTTTATTAATTGCGCGGACGGAGTTGCAGGCAAAAGCTAGTATTTCCACAGTACTTTGAAGCTGCATAGAATACAAACCATCTGAATATGTAACGTTTAACATTTATTCAATAATACTTACAGTAAATTGCTCTGATCCAGTAAATATTTTATTAGCCACAATCTCAGTCCAATCTGTTTTGGATATTTCTTTCATCATTCTAAATACCTGAAAGGTTATTACAAATTATTAATGTTTTTAGTTCACTGGATTTCCATTAGCTTAGGACGAGTCTAAGAAGAAATGAATCAAAAGATTTTTTTTAAAACAACCGCACATGACATTTCGTAAAACACAAGTGTTGTTAGTATAAAAAAAAAACTTTTTATCGAAAAAATTGTCTCATATCCTGATTAGAATAAATAGAGAATTAAAGAATTAAGACACCTAACCGAGTTTCGGCTGACTATGGCTATATCGAATAAGCAACCATTATTGTTACTTATGATATAAATTTTTACTTACAGAACTTACAGGAAAGCAATTTAGCAATTCATTTTCAAGTTTGGATTTTATCCCGTTTATCAGTCAAATCCTATTATTTGTTACCCCTACCATAGCCTAGTAGAATGTGTAATTTGCTACTTTTGTACTCGCGGCCATTTTGGATTTATAATGACACTGAATAAAAACTTGCATTATCTTCAGAATTTAAGGTGTCTATTATATTATGACAGATATATAAATAAAAAGAAACATAGTCGACGACTTCCCTAATAGTAGGAATTAAATCATTTAATAATATTTAAAAAAGTCACCTGTCGAAAGTTATTCAATTGAAGTTGAATAACGGAACCGGAACATGATTTGGCAACGTCAAAATATGCATCAATTGTACCCACCACAGACTTGCTACCACTCGAAACACATTTTCCACTCAGAAATATTATGACCTGGAAAATAGTACAGTTAATGTGAAGTCAGGATTGAAGTATGAGAGTAACGCAGATTAATCAGGTATGTAAAACTCACCTGGCTATTTGTGCTCCGACATAAATTTTCTATAGAGTTTAATTTACTATTATTTCTTGCATATCCATCGGTAAATACAAATATCATTGAATTTGGTTTACTGACTGTCAACGCTTGTTCTATCGCGGGCAGTGAATTCTCCGGACATTCATTGCCACCACTGACTTCAACTATATTCACTAATTCAACAAGTTTGCTAGGTGTTTGTAAAATAATAGGAGGTCCGAAGCCTGAAACAATAAATTATTGTTTTGTAAAATTTGTAAATAAAAATACCAAAATTATCCGAATAAACATAATAAGTTATTTTTTACATTTTTTTATAGGCACAGCATGCCTTTAAATGTAAAAAAAAACTACAAGAACTCGATTAACTAATATCACTGTCTATAAACATAAATTAAAAGTAAAATTAAAAGCATTCTACGGACAAAGGTGAAAATGTAAGTCCCGAAAAAAGGATATTTCTTTCCCAAACATGCCCCCTTCTCCTCCAAACAGATTAAAATAAAGTCGTGTTAACTTACCGGGATCATCGAAAGGTACCAAAATATAATTATCTATATCAGACAATGGAGTCTTCAAGATAGATTCAATGTTTGATTTTAAAATATCTATTTCTTCACGCATCGATATTGTTGTATCTAATACTATTGTAAAACTCTTTTTACCATATTCATTTGCTGTTACAAAATTTGAAAAATATAGTAACACGAAAAATAATAACATTTTTAGTACGTTCCGCGTTTGCAAATGTGACGAAAGTACAAACTGTTGAAGGGAGAAATAGTTATGCTTAACTATAAACCTAACATCACAGAAGCTCTTAAGCAGAAGTGCAACGGAATAGATTTTAACATTTTATGGTGCAATTTATAATTTTTCTTACGTAATTGCGAATCTTTTTTATCAACGTTCGAAAATTTATACATTGGATGACCTGCAAACGAGAAAAGCTGCATAAAATCTATATAAAAATATACCTTAAATTTATTTACGTTATCATAATATTTGCTTTTGTATTTGTTTCATCTAATTTAGAATATTTAGAATATTTTTTTTGCGTTACATTATAATCTGTAGGTCCTGGGTTCGAATCCCGCCATGTACCAATGTGTTTTTTCGATTTCCGATTTACCTATGTACATTTATCCGACGTTCTTACGGTGAAGGAAAACATCGTGATGCAACCTGCACATATCTGAGAAGAAATTCAAAGATATGTGTGAAGTCAACCAACCCGCACTTGGCCAGCGTGGTTGACTATGACCTAATCACCCTTAACTTAGGGTAGGCTCTGAGCCCCTCGATGGGTCGTATAGTGAGCTGACGATGAATGAATGAATGAACATCATATTATTTGTATATCGGGAAATTTCGTTGCCGTAACATTTGTATTAAAAGTATCTTCAAACAGAATGAAAGAGATAACGATATGTAAAAGTCCAATGAGCAATAGTTAGAAGTATAAAGGATATGGGTTTTTTGTTTACACTCGTAACTAAAATCATGTTACATGCTGTTTCATTTTCCTTATTGTCTGATTATATTATTTATTAATCTTACTAGTATTATAAATGCGAATGTTTAGATGGATGGATGGATGTTTATTTGAAGGTATCTCCGGAACGGCTCAACGGAAGAACATAGTCTGGAAGAACATATACGCTACTTATTGAGTTTTTCTTAATACCTCGCGGATGGAGTCGCGGGCGGCACCTAGTTATATATTAGTTTAACTTCCACTTAACAAACACGCGATATGTTGCATTGTATTGATAACCTTTGATACATTGTTACTTGATTTAGAATAACTTTTCGAGAAATTTAACCCTATTCCCTATTACATTACGAGCAAGATCTATTGAATACATAATAGTTCACTGATATACATACAGCTGATAGCATTGTGAATAATTATTCATATTTAGTTGCAGTTGAAAGGTATCGTTCATAATATTTGCGGCACTGGATGTCGGTTTTGATACACTCCCAATGTAGATAAATATACTTCCGTAGATATTTAATCTCACTTAAAATGTAAAAATATTTATAAGCAGGATGCATATATTTATTATGGCGCTACTGATTACGACGAACATTTCATCTAAGTTTTAATCATTTGGTTTGACTACTACGATTAATAAACATACTAAAATAATAGTAAGTAGTGCCTAAAGAGAAGGTCTTCGTGTGAAACTAAATCTTATTATACCAAAACATTGTTAAACCTTTAACTTTCCATCAACTAAAACATCTCATCAACACCATTTCATCTTAATTAATACTCCTGCTTTTTGCTTTCCAATATATTAGCAAATCTTTTTGTGTCGTAACAACCAGCGGTAATTCCATTTCAATTATCTTTCAAACATAAACTTTCTACAGCGAACAAAATCAATTTATGAAAAATGTTAGAAGACTTTTGGATATTGTAATTGGACGTAATTTAAGACCTTTTTATTTTAGCACTAAATAAATAAATAGTTATTCAATTAGTTAATATAACAAAGACTAATTTTCCTGTTCTTTGCGTCCTCATTATAAACATGACAGGAAATTATAAAGATAAGTCTATATTACTAATGCTATTATTTTAAAAACAACACTGCACTTCAAGATAAATACTATACCTAAATTTAATTAGGCTAAAATATTATTACCGTATTCATGTTATTAAATGAATATATTACTGTATTAAAAGTCACCAATATAAAAAAGGGATCAAAAAACAATAGTTAAAACTTTAAATTAAATAACATTTAATATTCTCTACATTGCATTATATTACAACACAATTTAAAAATTCTAATATATAACAAAATAATTATAAATAAATCTATATATATAAAAGAAATTCGTGTTAGTTACACCATTTATAACTCAAGAACGGCTTTACCGATATGTCTGAAAATTGGTGAGGAGGTAGCTTAGAACCAGGAGACGGACATTGGACCCTTTTTTAATTTATGCCTTGAAGAGCTTTTTATTTAACTTCCTAATATTATAAATGCGAATGTTTAGATGGATGTGGTGTGGATGGATGGACTGGTGGGCTACACTAATTAAGTTTTTTATATATCCACGCGGACGGAGTCACCGGCGACAGCTGGTTTACTATATTTCCTGATATTATTCTGATTTATAAGACCGATATTGTAAATGGTTTCTCTTCTTATTACTCTGAGAAGGATTAATGTAAACAAATAGCCTATAGGATGTCTCGTCTTAAACATTGAATATGAGTGTGGAGGAGAACACCAGTAGAGGTGGGTCACGGAAGATATTAATGAATTGCTTAGAAATCATGATCAAGAAAGTAACGATTGAAATGACAAATGAATCTGGATTATAAATACTTGGGATAAGGTAAGGGAGACTATGATTTTCTTGTCTATTCGTTATATCACAACATAACATGATATAATAATACAATGTAGTGATTATTGACATCACTTTATTCATGTACTCGACAAATTTTGAGTGGCGGATTGTTTGAAATCATTATATTGAGAATGTTTCTTAGCAGATATAATATGCAGTTTGTATCATATATCTCCTTCACCGTAAGAAGATAATATGGTATTATAGTACTAAATTAAAAAAAAACAGTCAATATTTTTACTAATATTATAAATGCGAATGTTGGTGTGTTTAGATGGATGTTTGTTATTTGTTGTCAGTCTGTAATAACATATAGGCTATACCTATGATCCCGTAAATATGGGTTTTTGTGCGATGCGTTTGATTTACTCGATACCTTTGTGAGGCTTAGATATGTTATAGATATGTATAGCTATAGAACATAATCTCAAATAACACATAGTACACATCTCTTTTTTTAATTCTGCGCTGAAGTTGCTGGCAAAAGGTTAAATTAAATCGGAATAAGTGACATTTTCCATCGCATTTTAAATAATGTGATAAAATGCAGCCAAGGGTATGTTTTGTAACCCATCCAATATGTGTGCTCTTAGTTAATCATCATCAGCTTACTATACGTCCCCACCGAGGGGCTCGGAGCCTACCCTAAGTTAAGGGTGATTAGGCCATAGTCAACCACGCTGGCCAAGTGCGGGTCGGTTGACTTCACACATATCTTTGAATTTCCTCTCAGATATGTGCAGGTTGCATCACGATGTTTTCCTTTACCGTAAGAACGTCGGATAAATGTACATATGTAAAATCGGAAATCGAAAAACACATTGGTACATGGGCGGATTCGAAACCAGGACCTGCAGATTGCAAGTCCAGTGCTTGACCGCTGAGCCACCGTCGATGTTAGTTAATAATTGTTTATAAATGAGGAAGTTCCCAAATATCTATTTTTAGATCCACAGCCTGTGTTCAATGCACATTCGTTTCCAATTTCAGTAACTGCTTGAGTTCCGTTTGATAAATCTGTGTATTTTGTGGCGGCGTCCGTGAAATACGTTGTTTATAGCGTTCAGTCATGAACGAAAAACTGTATCATAGTATTCTTGTGCTGACCATATTAATATGTCCAATCTTCTCACAAAAAGTGATCAACAGTTCTTTAATATTTGTCATCGATAGAACTAGTTCGATGTCAAAAGATATAAAAAATGTGCTTAAAAGTGCAGACGGACTATTCGACGCTGTTGTTAACTCCAATCAATCAGATGTAGATAATTTTATAATTGTTACATTCGGCGACCCAGGTATTTATGATATAATTTTACTTTTAATTATTCCTTATTATTATATATTATATAAAACAAAATATTAAAAAAAAAGCTATAAAAAAATATACTAGCTGTCGCCCGTGACTCCATCCGCGCTGAATAAAAAAACTTGATAAATAGCCTATGAGTTCTTTCAGACTATGTTCAACATCTGTGCCAAATTTCATAAAGATCTGTTGAGCCGATCTAGCTATCTAATCCATCGTATTTATAATATTACGAAGATTTACTTTCATGCAATTATATTTGCTAAAACTTTGTAGTTGCTGGTCGTTTGCAAACACATTAACAAAAAAACTTTAAAAAAAAGTAATGGAATTCTGGCTGTCGTAGGCTCTTGTTCTATCGTTAAACTTTTTCAGGTTTCGAAGTACGTATCATAACGGACAAGAGAGATGAATTCAAAAGTTCGTTACGTAGCCTTCGTGCTAAAGGAGGTGATGATTGCCCAGAAATGGCAATGTCTGGGATAGAACTAGGCCTTCAAAGAGGACGTCCTTATTCATATCTGATTGTGTTTACTGACGCCGCTGCTAAAGATATGGAAAAGTTTGAAAGAGTGAGAAATTTAGCCCTCGAATTAAATACAAAGGTGGTATATTTTTAACTAATAACAGATTATAATAATTATATACAGGATGTCCCAAAAGGTTACGTACATAGGAAGGAAAAAAATAAATGGCATTTTTTTAAAACTTAAAAATTTTACACCTTCTGGGACATTTTGTAACCGATGACCTACAAATATTGCTTTATTTAAAAAAAAAGCTATTATGTTATCGTTAATAACCCTTTATCAATATGAAATAAAAAAAAAAAAACAATACAACTAACAAAGATTTTAAAGAAAATTAAAATTGCCCCAGAAGGTGTAACATTTTTAAGTTTTTAAAAAATGCCATTTATTTTTTTTAATACCCAGAGGGGAATTTTTATTTTATTTTTCTGGTGACCCTTGTGACCACCCCTATCATCCCCCTTCCTATGTACGTAACCTTTTGGGACACCCTATTTACATTTATAATATGATTAGTTCTGCTGCATTATACATTTCAACAGCTAATTTTAAGTTAAGTATTTTTTCCGAAAATAAAGTGGTCATTTTATTAATTATTTGAAACTACGTTTTATTTTTATCATGCAAATAAAGTAAAACATATATGTAAAACCTGTTTTAGATAATTTTTTTAGTAACAAAATGGAAGTGTCCAAATCAAGAAAATGTAGATTTCTCAGCATATGAGAAATTGGCTCGTGACACCGGAGGAGAATTTTTCTTTTTGAATAAAGATAATTTACCAGAGGTATCTAATCTTATTTATGTTTACTATTTTTTTGGAAAAAGAAATAAATAAATACGAAATATAAATAAAAATAAAGAATCGCCTAATTCCAACTATTTAACGTGTTAAATATTTTCTTTCCAGATTATGAAGTATGTGATGAAGTTAGTAGACAGTAGGAAAGTTGAAATATTAAAAAAACAATTCAATGCGACCGATGATAATAAAGTTGTTAAGGTATTATAATTTTTTTAAATATTAATTGAATGTAACATGTTATTGATTCATAAAAGTTTTCGACTTACCGACAACAATCATAGACAACCAACCATTTATTCAATAAAAATTGCGACATTAAGCACTTTAAGAGTAAAATTTTAATTTCAGGTGTCTTTGGATCCTTCAATAGATAACGTTCTCATGTCTGTGACTGGCGGTGAATCAACTGTAGATGTAAAGGATAAAGACAATGCAACTGTTGCCACAGAGGGAATCGCGACAATTAAAGATACAAGGGTATGTATCTTCTCATAAACAATGTTTGTGTGAGTTTCGACTGCACTGATTTTTTTTATTTCATAAGGTGGCAAACGAGCTAGCGGCCACGTGAAATCGCTGAAATAGCGAATTGACCGTTGTCCATAGACATACACAATTGCATATGCGTTGCTTACCTTTAATCGACGGAGGAGAGGATGCTCAGAATGAAAACATTTTCCCTTTCCATGCATCCTCTGATCCGGAATGTCTACTTCCACTTCCCACCCTTTCCTTATTAGAGAAAAGGGTAGGAAAGGAAAGAGGACTAAATTAGACCTCCGGGACGCACACTCATCAGACGAAACGTGGTATTGCTTCACGCCTGTCTTCATTTAGATTTCATTTTGATACAAATCATCATCTCTTACATTATACTTGAAAATGATAAGAGACAACAATATCTATCAATACAAATGACAATGTTATCGAAAGTTATTGTAAGTTCTTCTTCGATCTTACCGATAGAAAAAGTTAAGTTTATGTTTAAGTAGTATAATAAGAAGAATTATAAGAAGAATTGTAAGAAGAATTGTAAGAAGAATTGTAAGAAGAATTATAAGA